TAAATTAATTACCATGAAGCTTTATCACTAGCACAAGATTTGATATTATATGGATGAAATGATTATATCTTCATTCTTCAATATCTCTTAATTGACCTTAGTCTTATTAATTTGTTTTATGTTATTTTTAAAGAACTCTGGTAATAATTTATTAATTTATGAGCTAAGTTTATGAAAGTAATCTTGCTACTAAGATTCTTTTATTTTCAATTTGTATTTGTAAAATATTTGAATTTATTTTTAAGAATCGAAGCATTTAATTTGAAAATCTAGTGTTTATTAGATGGGAGTTGGAAATAGTTCTTATATTATTAATTCTTCATTTTTTTAATTGTAGTGATTGATTTTGGATAATTTGTGAAATATTTCTTTCTGGTAAATCTAACTGAATAATTAGATTGCTTTATTTAATTATTATTGATTATAATATTATTGTTTTTTAAACATTCTTTTCCATTAGCTCTAAAAAGAATTCTGGTAAAATTTATAAGAATACAACTAATAATTGCTTTGCTATTTGAATTCTTTATCCTTTCATTTAATCACTTCTATCAATAAAAAAATAATAATTTTCCTCTGTTTGTTTTTGTTTCTGATGATAAATTTAATCCATTAAAGTAAGATGAATAAGCATCATCCAAAGACATCAAAAATAAGAAAAAAAAAGCAGAGTAACTCGAATTTCAATAAAATTTTAAGCAATAAGTTGATTGTATTTTTATTACTCTAATGTTTCATTAAATTTTGAGATCAATGTTAAAGTCTCACAATATTGAATATTTTTTAAGGCAATATTATTTGTATGAATAAGAAAACAATGAGGTTAATTGATACCATCAGACGATAGCAACAACTCAAATTTTTTATTTAGAGCAAAGTTATCTTGATATTTATTATCAAGAAAAATTACTCAACTTTTTGTTAAAATTTCTTTAACAAATTATTTATCACCATCATTAATTTATATTTAATGGGCTGGGACTATAAATATATTGTTGGTTTCTACACATTAATACATATTTTAATGTTTATATCGGTAATTTTATTGGAGACCTTGAAAATCCATACTTTACTATTTCCATTTATCTAGTTAAGGATAGTTGAAACAGTATTTTAATTCATGATTTTACCTGAAAAACAATCAAATTCAAATTCTTTCACTTTTTTATATACTTAAGATTTTTTTGTTATATCCTCATTAATATAAAAGTAATGAAAATCAATAATTAAAAAATAAAATGGATTAGAAAGAAGATTTATATGATACTTTGGCTTTGTCAAAAGATTAGGATCAATAAATATACAGAGCGTTAATTGAAATTTTTCGAAAAGAAAACTTTTCAAATTTTTCTAAATATCTTGCAAATGATGGCAATCTTTAAAATTATGAATAGAATATTTCAAAGGTAATAAGCTTACCATTTACCAATGAGCAAGAAGAGTTAAAAATGGTAAAAAATAAAATGATGATTATGATGAATATTATGAAATAAATTAAGGATCATGACTTTAATCAAAATGATTTTTTCTACAAATACCTACAAAGAAACAAGAAAAGATCTGATTTAAAAAATATCATAAGATGAGAAGATTATCTAGTTATTAAAATTTTTTGTTCATCTTACAGCTTTAAATTATGAATTCATATAAAGTGGTTCAAACTCACTAAGTATATTAGTTGAAATGAAGGTAGATTTGACATATCAATCTTTTGAATAAAACTCAAAACAATCTATTAAAATTTGAGTTAATTATTTACTTTGATGATGAAATTCAAATATTTTACATTTTCTTATTTAGATTTCAGTAGACTTTCTATCTCAAATGATCAAATGCTCTCCATCATTCTTTCTTCTATATTATTATATTCAGATAATATTTTTGATTTATCCAATAGATTATTTCATTTATTTAAATAATATTTTATACAACATTTCACTCTAAATATTTTATAATATTCAAGCTAAGTAAGTTCTATTTCTGAGAATTATTGGATATTAAAATTAAAATAAAGAATTAGGAAGTCAAGAAGACTTTCAAGGGATAACCAACATTCTCAAACATTCTTTTAAACAATTTGAGCGTAATTTGATAACTCCATTAATGTAAATTTTTTAGAGAATTAACTTATTAAGATATTAAACATGGTGAGGCGAGCACGAATTACAATAAAGTTTTTGTTTTAGACTATCTATGCAATTTCCATTTATTTATTGAATTTGATGATCAGTTTACGCCTATTTAATCTACATTTTGTATTTGTTTAAAAATAATAATTTAAATATTAATTATTTTGTTATTCTTAATAATATCCAATTATATAATTTAGATTTGAAAAAAATCAT